CCCCCCTCCCCGGCAGCGTCGTGGGCCCTGCGCTCACCTTCCGCATCCGGCAGAACCCCCAGAACCTCTCACTGGTGGACGTGGCCAGCCAGGCTGGTGAGTTGGGCAGGGGTCCCCCTGGTCCTGCTCCTCTCTTACCCCCTGCCCCCCCAAGCTTTGGGGTGCCCTGTCCCAGGGACCAGGAGGAGGCGGCTCCACCATGCATCCCAGTGCCCTTGGCTGAACTGGGGAGCTGGCGTGGGGTGAGCAGCTGTTGGGGGTATCCCTTGGTTCTGTCTCTGGGGGAGGTCTCTTTGGTGGTGGGGAAGCACCCCTCTGACCATCTCCTCTCCATCCACAGAGCACGTGAAGGCAGAGCTGGAGGCAGAGCTGGGCCTGAAGATCGTGCAGACGGGAGTGGGAGAGGTAGGAGCAAGGCATGGCCGTCCCTCGGGGCTGGGGCGGCCGGGGAGAGGGCAGTGGGGGTGCTGCCGCGGGGTGCGAACCGGGAAGCACCCTGTGCCCCAGCCCTGAGCTCGGGGCTCTCTGTGAGCCGTCCCTGTGGGGCTGGGGGGCAGCTGAGGAGCAGAGGGCTCTGGGCAGCGTGCGGGCTGCTTGTTGGAGACAGTACTCGGGTTATCTGGGATGGGCTGGAGCAGGACTGATCCGGTGACCCCCTTCCACCCGGCAGTGTGATGCTGCCCAGCCACCTGCGCTCCCAGGGCACTCGGCTCTTCCTAAAACAAAAGCTCTGCAGGGTTTGAAGGCAGTTTGCGAGGGTCTCACGGAGGCTTTCCCACCTCCATCCAAGACATGGGGGCTGCAGGCTGCACCCTGCAGGGCTCATCCTCGCCTCCCTCCAGCCTGCACATGCCATCTTAGCTGTGGCCTGGGCACCCCAGTGCCAGGCTGTGCCCAGAGCACTCCAGAGACCACGGCTAGGCAGGCAAAATGCCATCGTGCCCCCAGAGAATGGCAAAGCAGCTGAAGGCAGGGAGGGAGCAGGAGCCATCTGCTTGGAGAGAGGCACCCCCTCCCCGTGCTGCTCTGGGGACCCCAGGAACAGTCTCCTGGCGGGGGTGAGCAGGGGCTGGAAATGGGGAACAAAGCACGGCTGCAGCCTGGGGAGGGGAAGCGGTGCAGCACATCCCCAACCCAAGGTCCCCGTTTCCCAGTCCCCTGCCCTATGGCGGCAGCCATGGGCAGGGAGGAAGGAAGCGGGGACCTTGGAGGAGGAGGAGGCCATGGAGAACGGGTGGCCTGGCCACCGAGGCAACCTGTCTCCATCAGCAACGTGCGGAGCGTCGCTATGGCAATGCCTTTTGATGTGGCAAGTGGCAGGAGCTGGGAGAAATGGCAGAGACGAAGGAGCTGGAGAGGCTGAGGCAGCTTTTTGAGCCCATGTGCACGCGGACCTCCCCGGTCCAGACCAGCTTGTGCTTTTTGTTCATCCCCCCCGGGCTCTGAACTTGGGGAGACTGGTGCAAGCTTTGGGGAAGGGTGGATGTAGAGAGGCAGGGGGACAGCGGGGCTGGGGCAGGCCTTGGGAAGGAGGTCCTTTCTGTGCCCCACCCCAGCCCTGCTGACATCTCCAGACCTTCTGACACCTCCAGGGGCTGCAGGG